AAAATATCAGAACAGTACTCAATAAAGTATATGCTGATTCAGGAGGAGACAAAGGATCAAAGGACTGATTGCATGAGTCACTAGGGTTCATATTATGGAGGTAGAAAATGTATGCATGGCTGGGCACAGTGGCTCATGCCTGAAATCCTGACACTTTGGGAGGCCTACGCAGAAGGATCACTTGAGCTCAGGAGTTTGAGACCAGTCTGGGCAACATGGCAAAACCCCGTCTCCACAAAAACAAAAATGAACCAGGCGTGGTGGTGTGCACCTGTAGTCCCAGCTACTTGGAAGGCTGAGGTAGGAAGATGGCTTGAGTCCAGGAAGCGGAGGTTGCAGTGAGCCGAGATCACACCACTGCACTCCAGCCTGGATGACAGAGCCAGACCTTGTCTCAAAAAAAGAAAGAAAATGTATTACATGCCAAAGGGGATTTCTAACAGGTCTATTAGCAGAAATACTAACAAAAACTCCCAAATTCAGCCTATTGATGGATCTTTCTAATTCTCCAAAGTCATAAGATAGTAAGCTTTCTCAAGTAAGCTTTCCAGGAGACAAACATGTAATACAGTGTCTAGAAACCTTGCTTAGTGTACCTCTGAACTTGCTGTCTCTGAATGTATATGTTCTTACTATACAATGTGTCATACAAAGAAAACTACACGGTGCTGCTTTAGCAGCTCAGCATCTTACACATTTAAATGCCATTCATTTTAATATCTACCTTAAAAATTTCTGTAGTGTGTTTTTCTCCAGATGAGGAAACAGATAAAGAAGCTAAGTGATGAGCCCAAAGCACCATGTAATCCAGCCCCTCACCATCCCTGGCTCCCAGCTTACCTGTGGTCTCCTCCCAGTGTGACACAGCTATAGCCATCTGACACAGCTCTACTAACCACCTCAGCCAGTTCCTGGTTGGCAAGACCCACTGAGCGTGGATTCACTATTAGGTTGTTGTAGAGATCATCTTTGGGGACTGGAGTAAAACTCAGATCTCCAAAGTCTTTTAGGTGGCAGCCTGGAAACAAATGAAGGATGACAAGATGAATTTTCTGTGCTATCTCCAACTCTTACTCACCTGGGCCACAATGATAATATGTGACAAAGTACACATCATAATCATTTTGTCACAGTAAAATTTTAAGTGTCAAATGATTGTGGGAAAGTTATCTTGAGCCTATTATAAACACTGTTTTGCAGATGTTGGAAACTGAAACCAAGAGATGTTGATTGACTTAAACTAACGATAAAAAAAAAAAATGGTAACAATTAGACCTCAGATACCCAGAGTGATCAAGTAGAAATATCAAAAAGAACCAGCAATTTTAAAGAAAGTAAGAATTTTTTAAAGTACTATTAATTTAGCAAAAATATACAAAGAGATTCTCTTTTTTTAACTTTTTAAGAAATGGGGTCTTGCTATCTTGCCCCAGTTGGTCTTGAACTTCTGGCCTCAACTGATCCTCCTGCTTCAGCCTCCCAAAGTGCTGGGATTATGGGGATGAGCCATCATGCCTGGCTAAGAAATTCATGTTATAAACTTTTATAAATAAAAAGCCAGTCTGAAACATCCTAAAAGAAATATCTAACATTTATTGATGACTTACAAGATCCCAGGCATTGTTCTAACTGCTTAACATAAATTCTTATTTAAGACTCAGAACAATTCTGTGAGGCAACGAAAATGTGCCTATTCTGTGGATGAGGAAACTGAAGCAAAGAGAAGCAACCGCCCAAGTTCACACAGCTGGTAAGTGCCAGAATCAGGATCCAAATCTAGGCCATCTGGCTCCAAAATGTGTACAGGTTGAGTGCTCATTATCCAAAGGCTTGAGACCAGAAGTTTTAGATTTATTTTTTTCAGATTCAGATTTTGGAATATTTGCATGCGTGCTTTCTCTTGTGTGCGCGCTCTATTATTTGTAGAGACAGGGTCTCACTGTGTTGCCCAGGCTGGTCTCTAACTCCTGGACCCAAGTACTTCCTCCAGGATGGCTTTCCAAAGTACTAAGATTACAGGTGTGAGCCACCATGCCTGGCCTAGTTACAAGCATAATACATAACACTATTTTAAGTAAGGTTACTAGAGTAAGTTAACTGCTATAGCAACTCCCCCAAAATAATGGCTCAAACATAGTTTATTTCTTCATTTAACATCCAGGGTGGGTATTCCAGGTCAGCAGGAGGCTTTCCTCCATACAGTAATTCAGAGACCTGACTTGGGGCTCCCATACCTAGGGCTTTGCAATCTGTGTGGCTAAGTCTAGGTCTCCCCAGGTTCAAGCAACAGGAGAGAAAGAATTGAGAAAGCCCATCTGCTCTTTCCAAAATCCTGGCCTGAAAGTGGCACATTACTCCTGCCTACTTTTGGCATTGGCCAGCAAACGCAGGTCTAGCTTATGTCCAGAAGAGGATGAGAATGGATTTTGGTGGACAGCTAGCAATCTATGCCTCAATGAGCACTTTTTTATTCTACTGCTATAATCTTTAAGAACAAAATATGAAAGTTTATGTTGCTCTAGGATTACAAATTTATATTAAACTATTCTAGTTAATTACAGAACTGAATCAACAAATATATGATGCCCTCCTGATGTCACCTCGTAAGAGCTTTCTCTTCTAATGCCCACTGTGCCAATAGTATTGAGGTAACCAAAGGACTGGAAGAGCAGAACTCTAGTTCTAGGATTATCTGAACCCTGGTTCTAGTATGTTGTAGAGAACATGAATTGTAACCCATCTGCTACAATTATTTTTAAGAGGAGTGAGGAGGATGATGGGAGGTTAACTTTTTGTAAGAGCAAAATGAACTGAGTAATATTAAAACTATTCCTTTTTTTTTTTTTTTTTTTTTTGAGATGGAGTCTTGCTCTGTCACCCAGCTGGAGTGCAGTGGCACGATCTTGGCTCACTGCAACCTCTGCCTCCCAGGTTCAAGTGGTTCTCCTGCCTCAGCCTCCCAAGTAGCTGGGATTACAGGCATGCACCACCATGTCCAGCTAATTTTTGTATTTTTAGTAGAGATGGGGTTTCGCCATGTTGGTCAGGATGGTCTGAAACTCCTGACCTCAAGGGATCCTCCTGCCTCAGCCTCTCAAAGTGCTAGGATTACAGGGGTGAGCCACTGTGCCCAGCCATAAAGCTGTGGCAAATTTCCTTATCAGAGTACTGTGGCAAATTCTTCTGGTTCATCGGTTTTAAGAAATGGTCTCACTAGTTTTTCAAGAATCTTAGGGTAATGGCAAAAAATGCAAGCATTGTAATGTGTAAGGAATATGTGTCTGGCTGTTATGCCTGAGGGAACTTTTTCTTTCTCTAACTGCATCAGATCAACTCATCTGTAAGTCCAGGTCAGGTGACACCTAGTATTTCATTGCTGCTCTGTCTTCTAAGAGGACATTGTAGGACAACAGGAGCCTGAAACTTCAAGGAGGTGCTCATGTCAAACAGACTTGGAACCATTGTGAAAGTCTCTCATTTTTCACCTGCTGTTTATACACTGGCACAGCCTCGTTGCTTCTCTCCCAAGTACTGGTAATAAAATACACTGAGTACTACTCTGATCTTTCAGGCCGAGATGTTACCTTTGGCCTTGATAAACCTATCCAGGCCCTACTGGAGTGGAACAAGAACACAAGTACATCAACAGAATGATGCAACCAAGCAGCAAGGAAGAAATCAAAACAGCCCTACCGGACCTAAGCAATATCTGTGGCTAGTGAAATATCTCTATTTCAGGGCTAGTGAGTAAATTCCTGAAAGAAGCCTCAGACAGGAAATGGATAGTAATTGTCTGCCTCTACACACCACACTGTGCTATGCACTCTGCAATATGTGTTCATTCTCACATCCTCTGCTGGTATCACTATCCACACATTGCAGAGGAAGAATTTCACCAATGGTAAATAGCTCCAACCGTTTAACAGCAACTGAATCACCCTTTGGTTAGAGACTCATATACGATTACATGATGAATAAGCAAGTTTTTTTTTTTTTTTTTTTTGGATAGCATAAGGCTATCCCATTCTCCCTACTACTGTGACCCCAGTTGCTACTAGGGCTCCCAGCAAGTCAAGAGAGATGGTTTTCAAAATGGGCTGACATACAGGAGGATCTGCTGAGCCACAGGCAGCCCATTGGCAGAATTGCAGACATGGAGAAAAGCCAGGGGCGTCTTACTGTGCAGTTTTTCCAAATTGTTTCTAAATAGGATAGAAATGTTTGTGACTTGTCAGGAACAAGTCAGTGAAATCAGGAGAAAAACAAAGACTCTGCAACCTCACTTGTGCTGACTGGGTACTAATGGCTTTTAAAGTTATAGACTCAAATAATGTATGTGGCAGATTTAGCCTCACACAAAAGGAATTCCTGGATTTTAGTTTAATTTTGCATTCTATTTTTTTTGAGATGGAGTTTTGCTCTTTCACCCATGCTGGAATGAAGTGATGCAATCTCGGTTCACTGCAACCTCCACCCACCAGGTTCAAGCGATTCTCCTGCCTCAGCCTCCCGAGTAGCAGGGATTATAGGTGCCTGCCACCATACGCAGCTAATTTTTGTATTTTTACTAGAGATGGTTTCGCCATATTGACCAGTCTGGTCTGGAACTTCTAACCTCAGGTGATCTACCCGCCTGGGCCTCCCAAAGTCCTAGGACCATAGGCATGAGCCACCTCACCTGGCTGAATTCCTGGAAATTTAAAGGGATGCAACTGCTAATTCTTAGAACAAAGTTGTACCTGAAATACTAGCTTGTTAAAAATAAAGTTGCACATCCCTCCTCTCCCCAGGGTGAAGTGGAGGGTGCTGTGGTGAGCTGGCCCTCCAGAACTGTAGTGCTGCTCTGCTGGAGGAGTCAGACTACCATGACATCGTAGGGAAGGAGGGCAGATTTTTTTTGTAGTTGTTTTCTTTAATTTTCTTTACCCCCTTCTTAAAGAAAGTTCTTTTCTTTAATTTTACTTTAAATTTCTTTACCCCCTTCTGGGGTACATGTGCAGATCTTGCAGGATTGTTACATAGGTATACACATGCCAAGGTGATTTGCTGCCTCCATCCCCCCCCACCTCCCCGCCACCTACTTTTTTAGTAGTTTTTAATTAGGGTATGGGAGGGGTAAGGAGGTTTTCTTTTTTTTTTTTTTTTTTTTTTTTGAGACAGAGTTTCACTCTTGTTGCCCAGGCTGGAGTGCAATGGCGCGATCTCGGCTCACCGCAACCTCCGCCTCCTGGGTTCAGGCAATTCTCCTGCCTCAGCCTCCTGAGTAGCTGGGATTACAGGCATGCGCCACCACGCTCAGCTAATTTTTTGTATTTTTAATAGAGACGGGGTTTCACCATGTTGACCAGGATGGTCTCGATCTCTTGACCTCGTGATCCACCCGCCTCGGCCTCCCAAAGTGCTGGGATTACAGGCTTGAGCCACCGCACCCGGCTGGGGTAGGGAGGTTTTCTATAAACTGTATCATTTTCTGCTGAGGGTGGAGTGTCCCATCCTTTTAATCAAGATGATTATGATTTTGACTAATAAAAAAGACTTTTTAAAAATAAAGTTACAATGTTACTAGAAGTCTAAACTGGAGGGTGGGGGAGGATAGGGGATGCTGGGGTTAATTCAGGCCATTTGAAGTAAGTAGAATTTCTCTTATCCATAAAATGTAATTTGGGTAATAACCTTTGAAGAGACTGTTATTTATGTAAACTCATTTGGTTACTACCAATAAAATGCAGAGATCTGAATTTTATTTGGTGCATTTAACTCCCAAAGGCTATACAACCTCAAGAACCATGTCTCTTTTTTTTGAGATAGTCTTACTCTGTCACCCAGGCTGGAGTGCAGTGGCACAGACATGGCTCACTGCAGCCTCAACCTCTCAGGCTCAAGCGATCCTCACGTATCACCCTCCAGAGTAGCTGGGACTACAGGCATGTGCCACCACACCTGGCTAATTTGTATTTTTTTTTTTTTTGTAGAGATGAGGTTTTGCCATGTTGTCCAGGCTGGTCTCAAACCCCTGGCCTCAGGCAATCCACCTACCTCGGCCTCCCAAAGTGCTGGATTACAGGTGTGAGCCACCGTGTGCCCAGCCAAAGAACCATGTGTCTTGAGATACCTGTCCCAATATACTTCTTCAGAGTCCCAGAGGAGACAGCCCCAACCAGCCCTTGTAACATCTCCTTCCTCCCTACTCTGCTCTCATGTCTCTGCAACAGGCAGGTTTTCTCAGAGACAGTGAGGACCATGACCGAGAAAGACAGGGGCAGGACCATGACTAAGACAGGGGCAGAGATAGTAGCACTGGGGACTCAAGGAAAGTGACTGTGAGGATCGGCGACCAGTCACTTCGGCGTAATATATCTATCTAACATACACCAGCATTAACCTCAAGAGCAAATGGTACAAACATAATGTTAATAGATGCCTTTGAATGAATGTGATCCTTGAGTTACATACACACACACACACACACACAAAATACACACTTGAAAATTTAGTTCGAGATATAACCGAGATGATTTACCACATGAGTTATATGTTTCCTGCTAATTGGTTCTCCAGCTACATCTGTCCTTCTTGCCTAAGGAGAACAGATGCTATCATCTTCTAAAGATAGGTTTTGGAACGTACACCACTCTGAACCAAGCTCATGTCAACCCTCTGAGCACATGTAGACCATGATGAGCCACCTCAGGCTTTCTCAGACTGTCAGCTGATGGCACCCTAGCAACCTGGTTCCAGCACAGGCAGGGGTAGAGGCAAGAGGAGGGTTGCTCTGACTTCATAAAGTCGCATAACCATATCCATTCAGAACGAGACTGTTGAGCTCCTCTGACAAGAAAAGATCTGCTGTTGTTAACATGTTGACAAAACTTCAATCCTTCCAGTAGCTAGCCAGAAGAAGAAATAGCAACAGTCCCCAGGGAAAAAATACTGTTGTTTAGAGCATGTGATGTTTAAAAATTGTTTACACCTGGGTGCGGTGGCCTACACCTTTAATCCAGCACTTTGGGAGTCTGAGGCAGGTGGATCACTTAAGGTCAGGAGTTCGAGACCAGCCTGGTCAACACGGTGAAACCCTGTCTGTACTAAAAATACAAAAATTAGCTGGGTGTGATGGCATGCACCTGTAGTCCCAGCTAATTGGGTGGCTGAGGTGGGAGAATCGCTTGGATCCAGGAGGCAGAGGTTGCAGTGAGGCGAAATCACGCTACTGCACTCCAGCCTGGGCAACAAAGTGAGACCCTGTCTCAAAAAAAAAAAAAAAAAAAAAAATTGTTTACACTCAGCCTTGTTCCAGAAAGGATTTAAATGAAGACACATCAGGCTGACAACTAGAGCTTTGCAAGTTACCGGTCCCGATGGGTAGCTCCCTGCCCTAGACCCTGGGCTAGCATCCTGGTGAGTCTGCCCAAGAAACCTAAAACCAAACAGATTGCACCGCATTCCATACTACTCTGGGCCGAAAGCACTGACTACTCAGACAGCCTGTTAGCCAAACACTATACCAGATGCAAAGAAAAGAACTCCTGTCATCTGCCCCCTGACTTCCTAGGAGAGTCCAGATCTCTAGTCAGGTTCAGTTTCTAAACTTGTCCTACCTCACACAGTGGTTTCAATGAGATAACAAGGAAAGACCTGACACATGCTGGAGATTACAGATTAGTTCAACTGCATGAGGCATCTCTGTGGTTTTTCTCCACACCCTATCCTTTTTCTTGAAACTGATGGTGTAACCTCAGACTTACCAAAATTTGTAATATTGCTATGTCATTTTGATACAACAGTTTCTGATGAGAAGTAGCAAACAGGCTGGGCATGGTGACTCATGCCTTTGGGATCCAAGGCAGAAGGATTGCATGAGCCCAGGGTCCAAGACCAGCTGGGGCAACATAGCAAGACCCCATCCCTACTGGGAAAAAAAAAAGTGACGAACAAATGCAGGCCCACTGATTTCTCACTGGAATGGCTCTTAAAGAGTCCTGCTCTCACAGTTCCCTATGAAAAAAAATAAAGGCAAGGCCAATTAAATCTTAGAATACCACTTTTCTGAAATCCCTAACCACAATGCCACAACCTGCTGTGACTCAACTCTTGGGTCACACAGAAAGGTGTTTTCTACTTCTTTTTCTGTGGTGTGGTTCTCTTCTCTTGGGGTAGAGAAGGGAGCCAGGAAGAAGCCATTTTTCTTCCCTTCAAAGCTGAGCATTACCACATATATTTATTCTCAATACCAACAAGGCTTGGCCATTAATAGGGATAAGTAAATTTATTCAAAAATTAATTTTTTTTTTTTTTTTTTTTTTGAGACGGAGTTTCGCTCTTGTTACCCATGCTGGAGTGCAATGGCGCGATCTCGGCTCACCGCAACCTCCGCCTCCTGGGTTCAGGCAATTCTCCTGCCTCAGCCTCCTGAGTAGCTGGGATTACAGGCACGCGCCACCATGCCCAGCTAATTTTTTGTATTTTTAGTAGAGACGGGGTTTCACCATGTTGGCCAGGATGGTCTCTATCTCTTGACCTCGTGATCCACCCGCCTCGGCATCCCAAAGTGCTGGGATTACAGGCTTGAGCCACCGCGCCCGGCCCCAAAATTAAATTATTTAAGCCAACCACTGTAATCTCTTAGGTTCTGCCTCTGAATTGTGCTATTTTGGAATTAAAGGAACAATGCAGCATCTGTCTAAAGTAACTAGAGGCCAGCCTTACTTGAAAGAAAGCAGTCATTATCTACTGATGTCCTGGTTTAAAAATATATTTCAGCCTTTTTGTCCGACATCTTAACGCGGTTGTAGTGTTCGCCGCTGCTCTCCGAGCTTCGCAATGCCGCCCAAGGACGACAAGAAGAAGAAAGACGCCAGAAAGTCAGCCAAGAAAGAAGAAGTGGTCCAAAGGCAAAGTTCGGGACAAGCTCAATAACTTGGTCTTGTTTGACAAAGCTACCTATGACAAACTCTGTAAAGAAGTTCCCAACTATAAGCTTATAACTCCAGCTGTGGTCTCGGAGAGACTGAAGATTCGAGGCTCCCTTGTCAGGGCAGCCCTTCAGGAGCTCCTTAGCAAAGGACTTATCAAACTGGTTTCAAAGCACAGAGCTCAAGTAATTTACACCAGAAATACCAAGGGTGGAGATGCTCCAGCTGCTGGTGAAGACACATGAATAGGTCCAACCAACTGTACATTTGGAAAAATAAAACTTTATTAAACCAAAAAAAAAAAAATATATATATATATATATATTTCAAAAAAGGGCGCAATAACTCACCGTTATTACCTACTAGCGTTTTTTGTTGTTGTTGTTGGAAACAGGGTCTGGTTCTGTTGCCCAAGCTGGAGTGCAGTGGTGTGATCTCAATGCACTGCAACCTCCATCTCCCAGGCTCAAGCCATCCTCCCACCTCAGCCTCCCAAGTAGCTGGGACTATAGAAGCGTAACACCACACCCAGTTAATTTTTTTGCGGGGAGGCTGGGGTAGAGATAGGGTTTTGCCATGCCAACCCAGGCTGGTCTTGAATTCCTAGGCTTAAGTGATCCACCCACCTTTGCCTCCCAAAGCGCTGGGTTTACAGGTGTGAGACATTGCACCCGCCCCCACTAGCATTTAGCTTGAATATGTTTATTAACTGGTAGCCAGCCACCTTGCAAGAGTTAAAGTTTGATATGTGATAATTATCCTTTGAGTCATACATTTTAAAAGATCTGGGAGACCAGGTGGCTTTTTAGTAGCAGATCATTTTCAGAGAAACCAAAATACTGGTCTGGGAAGACTCATCATGGGTTGTGATGTAAATGAAATTACAGGAGAAAGCAAAGATGCTTTGCTCCCTTTTTTCCTTCAACAAAAGTATACTGTGTGCCTAGCACTCCACTAAATCACAGGGATGCAGAAATAAGGTATGGTGCAGACTTCAAGGAGCTCACAGGCTGGTGAGATGTCAGGCAGGGAAAGTGGCAGCCCAGCCGAGTGCTAACGGCTGTGAACCAGCTGTGCAAAGGGTGTGGCAGGAACAGAGACCCAGAAAGAGAAGGGTCAGGAGAATGTCACAGAAGCAGCAATATCTGAGTCTGGAAGACATTAGCCAGGAATAAGAGAGGAAGAGGAAATGCTTACCAAAGAGGCAGAGAATACCTTCAGCCCTATAGAACAATGCATATTTGCCCTGGTCCCAGAGTTCATCCAGAGGACTGCAAAGAGAGGTGGCAGGAGGAGGGGGCAAGGCCCAGACCCTAAATATGGTGGGAACAACCAGGGTTTCTAAGCCAGGAGGACACATCAAATCTGCATTTTGGATCTAGTGCTCTGTAGAAAATGGCCTGGAGGCTGGGTGTGGTGACTCACACCTGTAATCCCAGCACTTTGGAAGACCAAGGTGGGCGGATCACAGGGTCAGGATTTTGAGACCAGACTGACCAACATGGTGAATTAGCCAGGCATGGTGGTGTGCGCCTGTAATCCCAGCTACTCAGGAGACTGAGGCAGGAGAATCACTTGAACCAAGAGGCAGAGGATGCAGTGAGCCAAGTTCGTGCCACTGCACTCCAGTCTGAGTGACAGAACAGGACTCCATCTCAAAAAAAAAAAAAAAAAAAAAAATGACCTGGAGAAGCAGAGTGCCCCAGGAAGCTAAAGAAAGAAATGAGAGGGAACAGAAAGATTCCAGCAATAGTTAGAGAGGCGTGGGAAGGGAGGGAGAAGATGATATGTTCAGTTTGGGATATGTTGACATTGATGTTTTAGAGACTATCCTGTTGAAAGTACATGGAGACAAGTTAATGGATGATTCTAGGTAATAGTCAGTGGCTGACAGTATCAGTTAAACGTCAACTCTGATGAAGTATATATCTCCATAGAACATGTCATAGGGCCGGGCGCGGTGGCTCAAGCCTGTAATCCCAGCACTTTGGGAGGCCGAGGCGGGTGGATCACGAGGTCAAGAGATCGAGACCATCCTGGTCAACATGGTGAACCCCGTCTCTACTAAAACTACAAAAAATTAGCTGGGCATGGTGGCGCGTGCCTGTAGTCCCAGCTACTCAGGAGGCTGAGGCAGGAGAATTGCTTGAACCCAGGAGGCGGAGGTTGCGGTGAGCCGAGATCGCGCCATTGCACTCCAGCCTGGGTAAAAAGAGCGAAAACTCCGTCTCAAAAAAAAAAAAAAAAAAAGAACATGTCATAGGATACCACAGGGATCCAAACAGAGAAATTCTGCAAACATATGACTTAGATTCCTGTACAAATAAACTGCAAAGAATAAAAAAAGAGAGAGAGAGACCTATAAAGGTCTTATAATATAAAGCAATATGGACCTTATTTGAATTCAACTCAAACTTAAAAACCACAAAAGAAATTTTTAAAGTATAAGTTAATCAGGCAATGTGAACAATACAAATTAAAAATTAAGAGGCTTAATTCTCCCTGTTGAAAATACAGAGACCTCCCTTCCTTCCTTTCATTTCATCATTTCTCTGTCCTTTTCAAATGTATGTGATTCTCTGTAATGACTAAATAAGCCTCTCACCAGTCTGACAACCCAGGAATGCTTCCTGAAGGACCCAGGGAGCCATCTCCCAGAGATGCAAACATTTAGTGAGGTAGTGCCTCAACCTCTCAGTTCCCACACAGGGGAAAGGGCCTAACTGCCCTGACTACAGATCGGGGGCGCCTTGCTCCAATTTGCAAAACCACCTCCTCTGTTAAGATATGAGAAGTTCGTTTCCCCTCTGGGTGGTCATGATAAAGGATACACTGTGTGTGATAAAAGGTGCTGTCAGGTCCATGAAACAAGATGTCTGATTTACTTCAAAATGGTCTGGAGGTGGTTAAAAAACATTGCCTGATATTGGTGATGATGCTGGCTGATGGATATATAAAGTCAGTTATGATACCGTCTCTACTTTCATTATGTTTGAACACTTCTGTAGCAAAAAGTTAAAAAGATAATATACATGGAAGATATCTATATGCAGGTTTGGAGTTAGGAGGAAAAATAAGCATTAAAGATAAAGTTTTGCTAAACAAAGTGGCTCACATGTGTAATTTCAACATTTTGGGAGGCTGAGGCGGAAAGATTGCTTAAGTCCAGGAGTTAGAGACCAACTTGGGCAACATAGTGAGACCTCATCTCTAAAACAAAAAGAAAAAAAAAAATAAGCAAAATTAACTAGGCATGGTGACACAAGCCTGTGGTCTCAGCTACTTGGGAGACTGAGGTGGGAGAATTACTTGAGCCCAGGAGGTAGAGGCTGCAGTGAGCCAAGATTACGTTACTGCACTCCAGCCTGGGTGACAGAGCAAGATCCTGTCTCAAAAAATTAAAAAAAAAAAAAAAAAAAAGAACTTTAGGTGCCATCAGCATACAGGTGACAGTGAAGCTGTGGAAGTAGAATGCCAATCAAGACAGGATAAAGCAGGAGGATCAAGGACAGAATCCTGAGAATACTGACATGTAAGGAGTAGGTAGAAATAGAGGATATAGGCCAGATGCAGTGGCTCACACCTATAATTCCAATGCTTTGGAAGGCGGAGGCAGGAGGATCACATGAGGCCAGGAGTTCAACACCAGCCTGATCAACATAGTGAGACCCTGTCTCTAAAAAATAAATAAGTTAGCTGGGTGTGGTGGCATGTGCTTGTAGTTCCAGCTACTTGGGAGGCTAAAATGGGAGGGTCGCTTGGGCCTGGGAGGTCAAGGCTGTGGTGAGTTGAGATCGTACCACTGTACTCCAGTGTGGGTGACAGAGTGAGACCCTGTCTCAAAAAAAAAAAAAAAAAAAAAAGAAGAAGAAGAAAAGAAAGAAAAGAAAGGATCTAGTAAAGGAATTTGAAGAGTTAAAGCCAAGAGAGAGTAGTGTTGGTTTCAATGCAAAAAAGCAGGGTTAGTAGTGTAAATAAGGTGAATGTTATACTGTTCATTGTATTAGAAAGTAGGTCAGATACTGCAGCAATACTAGGTTTATTGGAATGATGGCCCATGAAGCCACATTATAACAAGCTGAAATGTGAAAGGGCAACGAGGAAGCCAGGAAATTGGCTCTGAAGAAAAAATAACTAGACAATAGCTAGAAGGCCACCTGAGGTCAAGGGGGATGGTCAAGGGTTGCACAATTAATTACAGGGACAGGAGAGAAAAGCCACAACAGGAGGGGAGAGGAGGGATAATGCTGGAACAGGAACCATCAGAGGGGATGGGGTCTAGAGCATAGTGAGTGGGCACTGCTGAATGTTAGTTGTCCAAAATCCATTCTTCCCTTTTCCCAGGGAGAACAAGTTTTTAGCTGGGAGCATAACCTCTTGGAATAGACTACATTTACTAACCTTGCTTGTAACTGGATGTGGCTACTTGAACCACTTCTGGCCAATAGGATAAGAAGTGTCTGGCAACAACTTCTTGGGAAGGGAAGGGAACTGCCTTTGCCCCTTCCTTTGTTCATTTTTCCGTCCTGCTGCTGAGGCCACAACCATCTGGCGTCATTAGGCAGAGGCCTTGCCTGTGGCACCAGATAAGAATCTAGGTCTGAGCTTAGAGGAACAGAGCTGCTAAACCGGCTCTGGACTACTTTTCAAACTGCTTACTTGAGAGCCAAATAAACAATTTTTCTTTCAAGCCACTGTTAATTTCGAGCCCTTACCATGGGCACTCTTATCTATGACATCCATTTCGATGGCAAAAACTGCAATTACTTTTGCATCAACGTAATACAGGAACTAGACCCTCATCCTCTGAGGAGGGTGTTAAAGGTTCTTTGTCAATACAACTGATTTGGAGGATGACAGGGAGAAAGTTGGAGAGAGTCCATACCTGCGTTGGAAAAGCGTGAGCTTGAGGATCATGAGATGGCTATCGTGGGAAATGCAGGAAGGAAGACACCAAGAATGAGGGCTAAGCTGGAGGTGATGATCATGCATTTATGTTGATTTTTTAAAAAGATTTTTGAGCTGGGCACGGTGGCTCAAGCCTGTAATCCCAGCACTTTGGGAGGCCGAGGCGGGTGGATCACGAGGTCAAGAGATCGAGACCATCCTGGTCAACACGGTGAAACCCCGTCTCTAATAAAACTACAAAAAATTAGCTGGGCATGGTGGTGTGTGCCTGTAATCCCAGCTACTCAGGAGGCTGAGGCAGGAGAATTGCCTGAACCCAGGAGGCGGAGGTTGCGGTGAGCCGAGATCGCGCCATTGCACTCCAGCCTGGGTAAAAAGAGCGA